GCAGTTATAGAGTTGAAGTCCGCACTGCAAAATAGTTTGCTCATTGCCCTCGGTCTTGAAGCGCCCATCTGATTCATTAAGGTTTATATACGACGTATTTTGGAATATATATTTTGGTACTTTTTCAGAACATCTTGGTGGGTTGTACGGGGAAGTCATTGCTCAGAACGACAACGTTTTCTGTACCAATAAACAAGTGGAGACAAGTACCGCAATGCTGTTTTTCTTGTGGGGAATTGGGTTTGATCAAGCAGCAAGGAAATGTGTCTGTCCTACTGGTGTAGTTTTATGAACCGCAAAGATTGATCCAAGTTTTAGCTGTGAGCCGAGGTCTGTTCATAATGGGAGGTGAAGTTGACATTGTGTAATAGTTATGATATATGCTCCTTGTATTAAGATACTTTGAATGTTTCTACTTCTAAAACTCTCAAAAATAAACAATGACCAGTCACAGCACTTGGCACAAAACACGTATGCCTCTTTATATAAATTATATTGATATTTAAAAAATAAATAAGACGAATGGACATATGATGACTCAGTTAGTGCACATAAAATAATTCAGCAATTACTCCGCACATATTAGGGTTCTTTGGAGATGCAATGTTCCAGCAAGTCTGCTTGATCAATTACCAAAGATTTTTTTTTTTCTTTTTTTTTTTGCTTATCAAAGTGATAAAATGTTGCAAAAAGTGAGTACACATTCCTGAAAGTTGTGAAATAAAACTAAATAAACGTTCTGGTCCAAGGCCATTTTTGATCAACAGAGCATGTAAAAGAGGAGCGATGTCTCCACAAAGTGCTGTCAGGAGGCTTTTGCAAGAGGAATGCCGAACCAAGTGTGAAAATGTATCAAAAGTAACACAAATTCAAAAATAATGAACTTGTAATAAGGTCCCTTGCTATAATCAGGCCTTTAAGCTTTCATTTCGTGACTAGTCTTTTTTTTTTTTTCTCTGAGAATTAAGCTGAATACCTATAGGCTTAGATCTCTGCCACAATTCTGCGCGCGAATTATCATATTTTGAGCGCAAAAAAGTGCATTTTGCACACGCGCGATCTGAGTTTTGTGGAGAAAATGTTCGTTTCGCGAAGGTGGTGCTGGAGACTAAATGGTTCCTGGTTATTTCACACCTAATTCTTCACCTTAATTCCTAATTCTTTTGCAGTTAACATGCATCTTTTCTTCTCCACATGTTTTTGACTGACCCTGCTGACCCACTGAGCATTTTGCTGTCCAATGGTTATGCATTAACTTTGCAATTTCTAGTATTGTATTATTTTACTTTCAGTCTGAGTTAAATCTCTTTTTTGGCTCATTTTATCTGTACAAGAAAATGTGCTTAATAATTATGCACACCTGAATATAAGACATTTTTCACTTCCAGCCTTCATTAATAATTATATATGAGTTATAAATTATTAAATACAAGATTAATAGTAGTTATCAAGATTGATGTCGTTTGGAATTGGTCAAATGTGCTTGGAAAAAAATATAATCAGAATATCAACTTGCATAATAATTATGCATGCACTGTATTTTTTACTATTAATTTTGTATTTAATCACTTATAATTTATATTATTGTTCATGAAGGCTGGAAGTGAAAAACGCCTTATATTCAGGTGTGCATAATTAAGCAGGTTATCTTCTACAGATAAAATCTCGAGATGGACTAAAAATTAACTCCGAAAACTTACTGCCAGATTCTGGAAGATAAATTCTTCAAACAGTGGTACAAGAGGATGTGGTGCTGGTCCTTCAAAGTCACTCTCAACTTATCTGTCTACAAAGCCTAATAAGTTAATATTAAGTGACTTACATTGTCTGACTATAACACTATTGTCTGATTTTGCTCTATTTCGTCGTCGAAAATAGTTTAAAACAAAGTAACAGCTGAGCTGCTGCGCATTTCCATTCAAACACAGTGGTTTTTAAACGAATCTAGTGAGTCAGTGATTCATGATTACCCATTCATAAAGACAG